ATAAAGAAATAAATGATATATTCAAAGATTATTTGATACCAAAATACAAATTTTTATCAAATTCTAGCAAATTTTCAGATAGTTATTTTATATGAATTTTATTGTGGATTATAAACTATAGAATTTAATTTAATTTATCGAATAGTGCAATAGATGTATTACTAAAATTTATGAAATTGGTGCTAATTGAAATTGATAGTAAAGAATTTGAGCTCTTTTGTAAATCTTTGTATATCACTAACAATAAACTTGAATTATTAGATCAGTTCTTTAATTTTGTGGCATGTTAAAGATACCACAAATTGTGCAGATAGGATGATGTTCTTGGTTTTCAAAAAAACAATTAACTATCAATTATGAAGTATGTTCATATTGAATTTCTCAATTTGGCAATAAAACAAAAAACAACTTGCAATTCTTCACTGTTTACACAATCTGAATTATTAAACAGAAATGTAATTAATCAATTCAATTTAGTTTTTCTACATTCTACTATTTAGTATCAATTGTCACATATATATCAAAATCTGAATTTTGAATCTAATCTTTGGCATTGATAAATTGATCAAGTATTGATGAACTTCTATGTGATATCTATAATGGTGATATTTGAAAAACTTTTAAAGATGAAAACTCAAAATTAATTTAGTAAAGAGACAGCTGATTTGTATTTGGGATTGGTACTAAATATCAACTGGTTTCAACCATTTGATAATAAAGTATATAGTACTGAAGTTATATATGCAACTATTGCAAATTTGTCATGTGAAATATGATTTAAACAAGAAAATATGTTGATTCTTGGCATATTATCAGGTTTTAGTGAACCAAGTTTACATCAAATAAACCATTATCTTTTACCAATTGTTGATGAATTGGTACAACTATAGTAAGGAATAAAGCTCGATTCAACTGCTGAAAATGAAGAGGAAAAAATAATTAGGATGGCCTTAATTTTAATTTTGTGTAATATTCCTGCTATATGAAAAGTGTGTAGATATATTTTGGTACTAGTGTCATATTATCATTGCAAGAAGAATGGCAATTATGAAAATAATCATTATAATTTTAATAGCATAAAGAATATAAACAATGGTTTATACCAAGAGATTTTGTAACACATAAATGAGATTTTATCGAATGGAGATACTGTAGCTCAAATGCAATACAAAAATGTTTTGTCAGTGAGAATCATGCCAGATGGTTCAAATTCCTTTATCTACCTTATTTTGATCCAATTCGGTATTTAATTATCGATCCTATATACTGTTTTTTATTAGATATTGGTAAATAGCTTGTTAAATAAATATAGATCAAAGAAGGAATACTGACGAATAATATATTAGATGAAATACAATCAATGATAGAAATTTTTAAAGTGCCTTCAAATATTGGCTGAATTCTAAGAAAAGTAAATAGTGGTAAAGGATTTTGAACTTTACTACTAATCAGTAGAAAAAATTTTTATAATGTATGCAATTATTATTCTATAGAAGTATCTTTCAGATGTGAATCACCAAATTTCATGAATTTTGTCAAGATTTGTTAAATTTTAGTATGCTAAATTTTAAGATGAAATTTATTAAATGAGGCTCATAAAAAATTAATTGCAATAATTAAACTAATAGAACAAAAATATGGGGAAGAAAATTATTTAAAATCTTCATCTTTTGTTATATTTATATAAATGTGCATATAATTATAGGCCATTGTATGTATTTTGGTACTTTTCATTTAAGAGGATGAATGGTATATTAGGTAGGTTTTTTAAATAAATTTAACATTTAAAAGTAAAATTTTAATAAATTTTTAATTTAAATTCATTACCTAATAGTCATCAAAATATTGAATCTAAACTAATGCAAAAATTGATGAATGATTATTGAATTATTAATCTAACTATGTTCTATCCTAATAATCAAGGACTTGAAATTTTAAATAATCAATCAAATATTAACTCAATTTTTGAACTAGATCAGTTTTCAGCTGATGAGTTATATCGATTTTTAAACAATATATATAATATTCATAAAACAATAATCAATGGATCTAAATTTTAGAAGCTATTTATGAAAAATAATGAAAATTTGATAATTATTTGGAATAGAAAGGTCTATATAATAGATACCAAATTGGAAGTGAAATTTTTAATTCTGTTATATTCTTACAAAATATTAAGGGCTCATTTATATTAACTAGATTTGTGAATTACAATAGAAGTTTCAATTTATATCTGTGACAAGTTCAATTTTTCTTTATACATTCAGTAAACTTTCTAAATAATGTTATTGACATCTATTGGTCTTTATTCAATGGCACAAACTAATTAATTTAGCAGAAAATAGATTTTATTTCAGATCTAAAAATAATATGAATATTAAATTATATAGTACTGAATTTTATCTAGTTAAATATTAATATATAATCCCTATTCATAATATTTTTGATCGATTTATTCTATTTATATATAGAACCTCAAATTGGCAAGACTCTTATGAATATTTAGCTGTAATTCCTTTAAATAATAAATATAATATATAATTAAAATTTGACAAATATGTGAATTTTGTGAATGTCTAATGATTTTTTGAGGAAAATTTTAACAAAAAATATAGTAAAAATGATACAAATATGGCAGGTAATACCAAATTATATAGTAGAAATTGATTGATGATTTATTTATGCTAAATTATATAGTAGAAATTGATTGACAATTTATTTATGTCAAATTATATGTTGAATTATATGCCAAATTATATAATAAAATTGATTGCCGATTTATTTATGTTATTAATATGCTGAATTATTTATTTTTTTGATAAATATTATATGAGTGATATTATGTCGAATAAATATTTTTCAATTAGTGATTATATATATGAATACATGTGATTTTAAGTATGTATCTTGTACAATATGATCTATATTTGTAAAAATCATTCTTGAATGAAATTGAACCAGTAACTTATAGATAATAACCTAGAAGTGCACCCATTGTACTATTGATTCACAGGTCATTTGATATTATAATTATTTTTATAAAAACTTGTTCAATTAAAAAAAAACTTTTAAAAATTTTTAGTTATTAATAATATTATCAAAATTATAAGTATAATTGATAGAAGTATATTTATATTTTAAAATCTAACATGTTTTATATTGATTAATTACTATTAATAAAGATTATATTATTTAAAAATTTAAAATCAAATTAAAATAAATAGAATTTCTTGAATATAAAAAGTGAAAGTTTTAAAAAAAAACCACAATCAGAAAAAAAAAATTCTTTTATTACTAAACTTTATAAAAATCTACTTTAAAGATAAAAAAGACTTCCAAGTACTATATACTTTTTTTAAGACTATTTTATAATAAATAATTTAATTATTGAAAGTTATAAACAAAAAAAAAGAATAATAGTAACTTTAAAAATATTTTTCAAGTTATTTTAAGAAGTGTATTAAGACTTTATTAGTAAATAAGTAATCTCAAACTTATTGTAAATATCTTTTTAAATTAATTAAAATAATTATATATGAAATATAATTAAGAATAAAAGTTCAATTATTTTTTTGAAATAAAAATAAATTATTTACAGTAAATTAAAAAAAAAAATTTTTCAAATTAAAAGAAATAAAATGTGCAACTTTTATATTATCAGTACAAACCTAAACAGTTTTAAAGTCATTGGTGACTTTCATTTAGCTTAGTAATGTCAATTATTGAGAAAGCAATAATAGTATATCTTACAAATAGTACATAGTGACTCTAACATTACTCCCCGCGAACGCTCTTTTGATTGCATCGATAACAAATTCTAACTCCAATTTGTCGAGGCCCGTTCCTAATCTTTTTCATAATCGTTCGTATATACAATGAGAAAAATCCCAAATATATTTAAATATAGTAATCTTCAATTACCTTGGAACACTTAGACCTTTAACGCCAAATTCCTCGCACAATTTCCTTAATTCGGCCAATGATTTTTCGAAATCTGCTTCTGTCGGTTTTCCGTATGCACTAAGTTTTGTGATCAAATAAAAGATATAACGATCATCACGACGAAGGGAGGCAACTTGTCCAACTTCTTTATTTTGAGATTTAAGCTCAGGAATGCCATTATATTTCTTCCTAAATATATCTGCGATTCCTTTACCCATGCGAAGATCCTGAGAAACACAATGAGCCAAGGCGTCAGTTGGGTCAGAATCTTCAAAAAGGTCACCATGCACTTCTCTGAACGAAAAATCGGCCATCTTTTCGGAAGCGAATTGTGGTATACTAAAAATATAAAACATTATTAATCATAATTTATTTGGTTCGAAACGATAAGTAAAATAAAAATCGGACCTCAAGGAAAGAAGGATGTAGAAGTGAATAACGAGGCCGTGAAATCGAACGCAGTCATTGAAATACGTGTGTACGATCTGCGGATTTTAACACAATATTAAAGGCATGAAACTCTATTATATACTCAATTAACTATTTTGGAAAGTTTAATTTATATTTCATTAGTCATGGTATTTTGAATATAACTAAATATTAAGTATACTGTATATATAGTATATTGATATATAGTAAAGCATATAAGAAAAAGATTATTTTGTTATTATGAAAGAAAAATCCAATATATAAAAAGTCATAAAATATTAAATAAAACTAAAAATTTACAAGATAGTGTATATACAGTATATAATATTTACAAAAAGTTTAATAACTTCTTGATAAATAAAATATTTTTTTAAAAACAAGAAAAATATTTTCAAGAATTAATACTATTTCTCACTTTTATTTACAATATTTAAAAAAAATATCTTTATTATTAATAAAAAAAATTTTTTTAAAGAAAAATAATTAACTGGAAAGTATTTGAAATTTTGTTATCTTTAAAACAAGTATTTATAAAGATTTATTACAATAAAAAGCTTATTTTTTTTGTTATCTTTAAAACAAATATTTATAAAGATTTATTATAACAAAAAGCTTATTTTTTTTTATTTTTGAATTTATGAAGATTTTTAAAACACTTATTTTTATAATTTTTTAAAAAAAATTTATTGGTCCTAATTTGATTTTGAATTTTTAAATAATATAATTCTTATAAAAAAATTGATCAATATAAAACATATTAATTTTTGGATAAAAATATAAAACTCTTTCCACTGATCCTCCTTTTTTGATAATTTTCTTGAAAAAAGTGAACCAGTCTAAACACACAAGAAAGAAGTACAAAACCTTAAACCAAGCTATTAAATACTCACAACATACTCAACTACATATATCAAATTATCGGGAAACACCAAGAATAGAGATATATACTGTTGCATTAACCTTTTATTTCCTTTTCTTAAAAATTTTAGGAGAAGCTGAAAACTGATTCACAGTCAGAAAAAAGGAGCCAATATCAACTTCACATAGCTTATAGCCAGGCCAGTGCAGGTTAACACCTTTCTTGACACTATAAGAAACCCAAAACGCAACTAAGCCCACTCGATAAATCAAGTTGCTCCAGTTATATCAAGGCCCAGAAGGATATCAAAGCTCCCTAAAAACAAGATAGTCTTAACGTACATACTCATCAAAACAACATATCTATTCCAAATCTCGGCACGCAAATACGAACACATAAAAGCAAGACTGAAAACAAGCTCATACATATATACTTTGTTGTCCAAACAAGTTGATCGACTTTCTATATAAATATGGTAACAACTCTTAAATTAGGATAGGATTACCAACATAAACAAATAAATAACCAAAACAACACAACAAGATTTTCTGCATTATCTAAATAGATACATATAAACAACAACAACAAAAAAGTTTATTTGTAGTCTAAATTTAGAATAGTGATAAATATAAACAAGAAAAACATGTAAAATATTTGACAACTATCACGTGACAAATAGAATACATATTCAATATCC